TGGTGCAGCTCCGCCTTTGTGGTTCTGCAGCGAGCACCACTTGCATTTTTTTGTCGCGGAAAGTGACATTGCGAACCTTAAAACTCCGGTTTTGTCTGTCCACACGCAGACACCCAAAACGGAGAAAACGCAGATCTTCACTTTGGCCGGAGTTTTTAAAAAGATCCGTTTTCGTGTGAAAAAACTCCGTTTTTGTGTGGATGACAGGCCAAAACGTAGAAAAATATGTCAGGAACCGAGTTCAGAAGACCCGTGAAGACACCAACACAGTAAAAATATATTTAAAAAAGTCTTTATTTAAAGCAGAGGTACCTGGAGGGCAAGGCTGAGGCAGGTTCAGAGGCAGGCTAAGGTCAAAGTGGCAGGCAGAGAGCAAGGCAGGGGTCAGGCAAAAAACAAGGTCCAGAGGCAAAGATCAGGCAGGGTGGATGGCTGGAGAACTACTGGCAAGGCTGTAATAATCTGGCATCTGTTGACTGGATGGCTGGTTCTTTTATAGCAGGGGAAGCAGGTGAATGGGATGAGGCTGATTACAGGAGCAGGTGGAATGAATGGAGCTGATTGAAGCTGACAGAGGTTGCTGGGGAAAGCAGGGCTTGGCTGGAGCTTGGTGAGAGGAACCAGGTGAGCTGAATGAAGGTATAATGAGGAAGTGGAGGAGGGTGAAGGATGGGAGTCATGACAGAACCCCCCCCCCCCCCCCCCCCCCTCAAGGGCGGATACCAGACGCCCACAGGAAACCAGAGCAGGGTGGGAGGAGGGGGACCAGGAAGGAGGGCCAGAGCAGGGCGGGAGGAGGGGGACCATGAAGGAGGGCCGGAAGGGTCTGGGGGGCCGGCGACGGGGAACCAGGAGCCGGGACTGTGGGAGTCTGGGGGGCCGGCGACGGGGAACCAGGAGCCGAGACTGTGGGAGTCTGGGGGGCCGGCGACGGGGAACCAGGAGCCGAGACTGTGGGAGTGTGGTGACAAAGGACACTGGCGGACGAGGACTAAGAGGGGACACTGGACCAAGACCACGACTAAGAGGGGACACTGGACTACGACTAAGAGGGGACACTGGACTACGACTAAGAGGGGACACTGGACTACAACTAAGAGGGGACACTGGACTACGATTAAGAGGGGACACAGACACTTTAGACTGGGGAACTTCAGACTGGGGAACTTCAGACTGGGGAACTTCAGACTGGGGAACTTCAGACTGGGGAACTTGAGAGCAGGAGGGGTCCTCTTCAGAGCAGGGGCAGGAGGGGTCCTCTTCAGAGCAGGGGCAGGAAAGGTCCTCTTCAGAGCCTGGAGGCGTCGATCTTTGGACTGGAGCCCCTTGGACAGGCTGGGCCGGAGCCCCTTGGACAGGCTGGGCCGGGACCGGGGCCTCTTGGACCTCATCCGTCGAAGCCGGATGCGATGCGTCCTCCGAGACCACCGTCAGCGCAGGATGCGATGCGTCCCCCGGGACCACCGCCGGAGCAGGATGCGATGCGTCCTCCCGGACCACCGCCGGAGCAGGATGCGATGCGTCCACCGGGACCACCGCCGGAGCAGGATGCGATGCGTCCACCGGGACCACCGCCGGAGCAGGATGCGATGCGTCCACCGGGATCACCGCCGGAGCAGGATGCGATGCGTCCACCGGGATCACCGCCGGAGCAGGATGCGATGAGTCCACCGGGACCACCGCCAGAGCAGGATGCGATGCGTCCACCAGGACCACCGCCGGAGCAGGATGGGATGCGTCCACCGGGACCACCGCCGGAGCAGGATGCGATACATTGGAGGGTTCTGGGGAAGGTGACCACCTCTCACAGCAGGTCAGACCCTCCATGGCGACGTCCTTCAGTGCAGACCCATATAACCTCCGGACATAAAGGTAGTAATTACCAAGTGCTGGGACCGCTATCAACTCTGGATGGGTGGAGAAGATGACATTTAACCTATCAGCCGCCCGCAGACGTAAGTGTGGGCAGGTTGGCTTGGAAAAGACCTCCCACACAGCCTCCTCGACCATCTGCATCATCCCCTGAACAATCTCCTCCGTCGGGACCAGTCCAGAAGCAAAACATGAGGTGCCGTCCGTGGAACCCGCCGACACCAGCACGGGAGAAGGATTAACCCTCTTATCAGCTCCAGAAAACCTCCGGGACCGCCGCCGTTGTGACCTGACAGGAGAGGTTTGAGGCTGGAGCGGCGTGGTCATGAACCCGCTGCACAAGACGTTTGCAGCAGGCCTGGACAGAGGAGTGGAGCCTCTGCGTGGCTCTGGCCTGATGGCCAGCCGCGTTCCCCAGAACGGTGACTCCTGCTCCTTCTCTAGCTCCATAAACTCCAGGAGCGTGAGATCCTCCATCACAGGTACGATGAAAAAAAATAAGAAAAAAAATACTCCAAGTGCTGTGTCAGCGTTGGGTCAGATTTTTGGCCAGATTATTCTGTCAGGAACCGAGTTCAGAAGACCTGTGAAGACACCAACACAGTAAAAATATATATAAAAAAGTCTTTATTTAAAGCAGAGGTACCTGGAGGGCAAGGCTGAGGCAGGTTCAGAGGCAGGCTAAGGTCAAAGTGGCAGGCAGAGAGCAAGGCAGGGGTCAGGCAAAAAACAAGGTCCATAGGCAAAGATCAGGCAGGGTGGATGGCTGGAGAACTACTGGCAAGGCTGTAATAATCTGGCATCTGTTGACTGGATGGCTGGTTCTTTTATAGCAGGGGAAGCAGGTGAATGGGATGAGGCTGATTACAGGAGCAGGTGGAATGAATGGAGCTGATTGAAGCTGACAGAGGTTGCTGGGGAAAGCAGGGCTTGGCTGGAGCTTGGTGAGAGGAACCAGGTGAGCTGAATGAAGGTATAATGAGGAAGTGGAGGAGGGTGAAGGATGGGAGTCATGACAAAATATCTACGTTTTGGCAGATCCCCGGCTACGTGTGGACAGGGCCTAAGTCTGTTTGTTTGGCTCTTAGAAGAGCCGTTTTTCTGATATCAGCTGCAGCGTTGCAGAGAAGAAGAAAAGAAAGTTTCATTTCTATAGCGCCTCTCAAGATAAAAATCACGAGGCGCTTCACAAAAACAAAAAATGAAAAAATATAAAAAAGCATTTAGAAAATGTTTAAAAATATATTTAAAATGAGCAAAATTAGGCAATTGTGATTAAAAAATGTTAAGAAAGAGAGAGTGAATAGGAAAGAGGCAAATCAGTGGATCCTGAGGAAGGTGGAATAGGTGGGGAGAGCTGAATAAAGAGAGAGTGGTGAAGAAGGTCATACAAAAGCCAGCTTGAACAAGTGAGTCTTCAGCTGCTTTTTAAAGGAGACCACTGAGTCCACTGATCTCAGGTTCAGGGGGAGAGAGTTCCAGAGTCTGGGGGCCACAGCAGCAAATGATCTGTCACCTTTGGTCTTTAGCCTGGTGCGCTGCACAACCAGTAGGCTTTGATCACTGGACCTCAGGGACATGCTGGGGGTGTAGGGACTAAGAAGATCACCAATGTAAGATGGTGCTTGTCCATGTAACGCCCTATAGACCAGAACCAGGATCTCGAAATGAACCCTGAAGTTAACTGGCAGCCAGTGAAGCTGGAGGAGAAGCGGGGTGATGTGGGTGTGTTTGGAGGACTTGGTCAGAAGCCGAGCACAGGCATTCTGAACCACCTGTAGACGGTTCAGGGAGGTTCTGCTCAAACACGTGAAAAGAGAGTTACAGTAGTCTAAGCGTGAGGAGATGAAGGAGTGGAGAACGGTCTCAGGTTCAGAGCGGGACAGAATGGGACTCAGCTTAGCAATGTTCCTGAGATGGAAGAAGGAAGAGCGAACAAGAGAGGTTTTTGACTGGAGGTCAAAGGAGAAGATGGTTTCAAAAATCCTTCTTCACCGATTTGGCCGAATCGGGAGTCAGCTAGGAACTGAATTAATCAGGAAGTAATTCTTTTTTATTGAACCCATTGCTTATACATCTTGGCAAATCAGAATTTGACATGTTTGAGGGCTTTACCAAAACTTTCCTTCAGATAAAAAAGGTGGTTGACAATTGATGAATGAGAATGTTTTAAAACACTTATGTGAATTGAATATTAACATTAATATATGTCTTATTGTAATGTGTATGAGTGTAGATATTAATTAATTTGTTAAATCCAACACATACTGGTCTCATGTTGATAAGATCTGAAATGGATCATTGCAGGAACAACATTCATTTTAAAGCCATCCTTGATTTAGGCACAGCTTATTCAAACATTTGATTTAAACATCTTGTCCATTCAACACATATGATTAAAAAACTGTGAAGTTATTTATAATTCAAGATTACATTTCCTCAGAGTGAAAATGCAGGAGTCTGCATGCGGCCTTGAGTGAGAATGTTTTGTCTTCTTGTATGGAAACAAGAACTGAGCAGCAGAAGACAGATGTCTGCAAATGAAAAGTTATTTCCTGGTCAATCTGATGGTGAAAAATTGACCACTTACGTACGTTACACTCTGTAGAATTGACTTTCTGCTGTATTTGCCAAGAGCAAATGTGACAAGTACACAATAATGTAATAGTGTACTTGGGTATTGAGAAATGACCACTGCATCTCTGCTGCACTTTTAAAAAGAGAAAACCTGACAACTGCCCAGCCAGCAGAAGGAAATTGGTTTCATTTTTGTAATCTTCCTTCCAACATGATTGAGACATTATAGTGTTTTATAATTTAAAATTCTTAATTATTGCACATTTTCGTTGTAAATCATTAAACAAATGATCAAAATACATTTATTGTAAACATATTGGCTTTAACATTTATGTTTTGATTAAAGAACATTGTCTTGGTTTGTGTTAAGATGAATGTGCTTTAATAAGGGGGTGGTCAATTTTTAAAGGGTGGTCATGACCCCCTCTTGGGGACGCCACTGCAAAAATAGCACAAAAAGCAGAAATAACGAGAGGAAAAATGAAACATGTCTTGCTGCTCTGGAACAGAAAACGGTGCAGGAAGGAGGGAGGAAACACGAGGGAAAGGGGGAGGGTAAACTCACCCAGACAGGACAGGAAGAACTGATCCCAGGCTGTGCAGTCAAGAAGAGAAAAAGGAGGGAGGAGGGGGGAAAATAATGCAAAATAGCCAGACAGAGATGCTCAAGAGCTGCATCGGTTCTCGTCTGCGAGGAACAAAAACATTGTGCTGGTGAATGGAAGCGCGTGAGTTCAACCACCAGGCTGAGGCGCGTGCGATGAGAAACCAGGCAGACTTCAATCGCTGATGCTGAACAGCTACTCCTCTGTCCCTCCGTGACTGCCTCGGCCAGATCGGACTGAGCCTGGTATGATTTGGGGAAAGGGGATTTGTTTATTCGGATTTGCAGCTTTATGTTTTAGGAATATTCAGCTGGTGTTGAACGTGCTGCTATTTCTGATTGAACACAGTGTGCGACGTGGAGACTCCCGCGGTTGCTGCTCCCCTCCCTACAGCCTCCGGCTGTGCTTGGGCTATGGTCCTGACTGAGAAACTGTTCATCACCCAGATGCTGAGCTCTGACTGTATGGGAGGCTAATTCCGCAAACACCAGCATGGGAGCTAAGCAGATGAAATGGTAAGAGCTGTATGTTTGTATTTATTCTGACACTGTGCCAGCTGAGGCTGCTATTTTTATCTATGGGAGCATCAGGCCTTTTCTCAGAGCTCTTGCTGGAGGCTGATCTCTCCAACTTTAGTCCAATAAATTCATTTCATCTTAAGATTTGTTCTTCGAAACCGATGTTCGAAACCCAAAGAAAGTCGGTGATTGTCAGATTTTTAAATTCGGTGGACGTGGGTGTGTCCCGTTAGGTCTTTGAGCAAGAGCTGTTGTTGCCTAGCAACCCTTGCCTAACTATCAGCTCCTGGCTCTCCCATGTTATGTTTTAATTAAAAATGCTGCAAAAAGTGATTTTAGAAATAAATAAGACATGTTTTTTTCCGTACAGTCTAGACAACTATTTTAGTACAAGCAAGTTTAGAAAATATAAATTATACCCAATTACAGTTTAGCTAGCTGTAGACTGCTAACTAGCTAATCCTGTAGCTACAGTGTACAGCAAAACGAAACTGTTATTATTAGACATTTAAATGTTTTTATGCCACATTTACTGTTGGTAAAATATTTTAACATTTGAAATTGCTCCACTTAAGGAACATGTACAACTCCCATTCTGTCAGGTGTTACGAGCTAAATGTAGCTAGCTAACATAAAACAGCAATACAAGTTTTGCTTTAATGAAGAACATACATACTTCTGTAATATTAGAATTTTAGTCTGCATGATGGGAAAAAAGACAGTTTCTTCATCATGAGCTGTGACATAAAGAGGAGTTATGATACACAGTTCTAGTTTAGTCAGCATTTCACGTCAGTCTTTGCTAAAATAATTTCTTTGACTGAACCAAATTTAAGATATACACACAAGTTAAGTTGAAGTTGTTGTTTTTTTGCTCTGAAATATAATAATAATTTAATGGCCATTATAAAATCTTAATTTAAACTGCCTCAAGATAAATAAAGTTAGAAGAAATATATAAGATAAATGCTAAGTATTTAAAGAGTAATAGTAGTTAAAATACACTTGGATACATCATGACAGGAGAGGAAGTTTATATATTTTTAACAATTTACCACAGCAGATCAAACAGTTAATCTAATGCAATGTAGCTCATCTTTTGCTAATCCAGATTGCTGCTTAATCCTGGGCTAAAGCCATATGTTCCAGATTTGTATTGCATGTGTTCTGCTGATACAATATCAGCAGTCAGAATGTTGTTTCCTTAAGACGATAACAACAGTTATTCCACCAATTTTGCCATTGTAGTCTGCTTTTTAGCACTTAGTGGACTTTATAGAGTTATTTAACCAAGATTTACATGCATGTAGTTCTGGAAGTCAGGGTGCTAAAATGGTAAAGTTACAACCCATCTAATAAAAGTACACACCTCATAAAACTCACACTTCAAACATCCCAAAATGTGTTAGCATTTATCTCTCAGCTATTCTGCAGTACGATTTTACACGCTCTTTTTGAAGTTTAAATATCACAAGAATTTGTACTCAGATCTTCCACACAGACAAAGTGCAAAGTCCATCATGACAAATGATAGAAGTGTGTGCTGTTGGTGTTGACGCTGGCTGTGCAGAGTAAGGGGCTCGACACACGGGAGGCGACAAACGACTGCGATCGCGGTCGTTTGTCGCCTCCCGTGTGTCGAGCCCCTAACGCGAGGAGATAAGCATAAAGCCTCCTCAGCTACAGTCTAGTCTTGCATCATATAGGAGGGGGAAACCGTGCAATTGAAATCCCTCTGGACACTCTTTGGTTTCTAAGCACAGCTTTATCCCACAGTTAAATCCTCCGCTATCTTTTTCTTCTCAAGGTTTTTATTTTCTTCCCAGGAGCAGAGTGTTAAATTCTGGTGCATTTTTTGAAAAATAAATAAATAAAAAATGGAGTTGTGACCTGTTTCTGCAGCTGCTTGTCTGCTTTCACATGCAGACACTCAGACGTAGTGAAGGAATCGGCTTTGCTGCAGGACACAGTAGCTGTTTCCTAAGTTTTTACTTACACAGCTGAGTAAAAATGAAGGCACACAGACTTATACTCATAAAGCTGCAAGAAAATCAGCTCTTCAGACCTCATCCAAGTATAGTATTTATAGCATTAACCCCAAAAAGAGAGCAAAAAATTTCAAGAATTTCCGGTGAAGAAAAAGAATCACTTGCGTGCACTTCTGTAAGTTCCAAAGCTATTCAGTTTTTAAAAAGTATGTCTGTTTGTTTGTGTTTGATACAGTTCTCATGAGGGAACAATGTGTTAAAAACAAAGCTTAAATTATTGGTTTTTTTTTGCCAAGATGGAACATAATTTTGTTTTGGTTCTCTGCTGAGACTCGGCAAAGTGTAAATCTTCATTTAATGCTGCCATGTTTATTTACTGCTATTCACTTGGCAGGATATAAAGATTCATCCCTGCCTGTTCCCACCATCTGTTTCAGTCTCAGCTCAGCCAGTCCTGCACACTCCCCCAAAGAGGAGTATGTCATCACCCAGTCCACTGACACCGCCAAAGAAGAACCAGTCCATGATGAGGACCAGGGAGCACCTCAGGAGCACAAATCTGAGCCAACTGAGAAGAAATCCATCCCAGGTTAGTTGGCTGCACTTGTAGAGCCAGAAATGTTGCAATAAAAAGACATACCGGTAGTTATTTCTACTGTCCCTCTATTCCTGCCAGAAGAGGTGTCACTCTGTGGACTGTGTCCCTCCCTCGGCCACAATGGACAAGAGGAAGAAAAGTCCTGGGAGGAGCAGCTGGATGCCCACCAGGAGCAGCTAGAGAAGGAGATGCATGAAGCCAGAAGGATGGTATTCCGCCTACAGGTGAATCTGAATGATATCTTTTTTTAAAGCGATACTTTGCAGCTTTTTCATATTTTTAAATAATTTTTTTAGCCAGTATGTGCTAAAATGACCCCAGGATTTTTCAACCCCGGTCTTCATTTTATGATGAATCACTTCTGTAGAAACTAAGGAAGGCTGAGGAGACATTTCAGCTGCTAGATTAAGGTGTTAAAGTCCAAGTCACCCCAAATAAACTTTTTTTGCTGATAAACTATATAAATGAGATGTTTAATCATACTGTAGACACGTGTCAATGATTTGACACTTTAGTGCATTTTAGTAGAAATTTGAATATTCTGGCTAAAACTGTCAGTGTTGCACCATCTTCTGGTAAAACCTCTGCTTTACATTTGAATTAAAATCTGCCACTGCTATTGGCTAAGAGTCCCACTATGACGTTAGCTCGTACATTATGATGTCACAATGCTGTTGTGAGTCTGTTTGTGCTTATTTGTTAGCGGCTCCACCCTCTCCGTCTGCCAGGCAACAGCATTTGTTGCATTTTTCAAACATGAAGTGGGAGTAGAGTAAGTTTTTTGTAGGGGGTGACCTGCTCTTTAAAAAGACAAATGCACAATGAGGAGTCAGGCTTTGCTTTTGGTTCTACTAAACAGACACTAGAGGGTGCTAAAAGTAAGCCAAAACTGCCTAGTCTTCCTTTAAAAACAAATGTCAGCGTAGTCAAACAATTTTTGACAGTGATTAAAAAACATCTAGGGCCTCATGTATCGAGCTTGCTTCCGCACAAAACGGGGTTGGAAAACTGCGTAAGCAACTTTCCACGCAAACTTTGGGATTTATGAAAGAAAACTTAGCAGAAAAATGTGCACAACTTTAAGTTGACTAAGGACCTGGCTTACGCACATTTTGGACATGGAGAGCACCTGCAGTGCTGCTGCTGAGAAGGATAAAATTATGAATTCCAGCAGCATTATCACTTGTACCGCTTTGTGCGCACACAGAACAAGACCACCCACATGTAAAGACACGCACGCAGGCACACTCACACACACAGCCCGAAGCGCAGAATACGGAATGCTGAATATCAGCAGGGGGGCAGATTGAGACAGAATGTCATGCGTCTGTGACTGTGTGTGTGTGTGTGTCCTGTCACTGTGACCCAATTGATCATGCACCCTGGCTATGTGGACAAGGGAGATCTCTGTTTGGCTGACTGGTTAGTGTGTGTGACTTTCACTCAGGAGTCTGGGGATCGAGTCCAGATCGGACCATTTTTTAAATATCCGCCACAGATCTCTCTGAAGAATTCACAACATTGACGGCTTCAGCAACGCTGTGCCACTCCGTGGATTTCTCTTATTTTTTTTTGCAAAAGCACTTCCTTTCATTTCTCCACCTCACCCACAGGTACCTCAACTTCTGCTTGTTAAATTGCGCTTCGTTGATCTGCCTTGATCTACGGTCGCCATCGTCATTGGTGGAGCGCTGCAACAGCCGGCTTATGTATATGCATGAGGTCCACAAGGCACTTTGCATTGACTATTTATGGCAGTAAGTGCAAAGCAGCTGAGAACCTTTCTAGATAGTTTCTGATTCATGAAGTGGAGATTGCGTGCAGCTGTGCGTACTCCATGTTTGATAGATCACAAACCTACTTGGCGTAAGTACTTTTTTTTTTGCTGAAGTGCAATTTTATTAAGGATTCTATGCAATGTTTGATAAATGAGACCCCAGATGAGTCAGAGGAAGGTTGCAGCTTAAAAACAGCTCACAGTTAGATTTTAGCCTCTTTCTTTGTCAGAGAAGTTAAGTTTTCACAGATTTAACCTGAATAAATTACCTGTAAATTATGACAAATAGAACTTAATAATTTCTTTAATATTTTCTTGATTTCCCTGGACTTTAGTAGAAAGTTTGACACGTAAAATAGTTTTAATTAAACTAATTATACCAGCCAGCGATTAAACTAGTAAGAAAAATACGTTTAAGGCTGTTTCTATTTGCAGTCAACATAATTAGTCATCATATCGTTTCTCTATTCATTATTTTTGTCATTTGCAGAGATAAACATATAATTGTGGAAAGCACATAAATAATATGTTTATTATCCAGACACGCTTTAAGTGGGATTAAAGTGATAAACTTTAAAAGAGTTAGATAACAAATAGACTGATTTGAGGTGTTTTGTGCCGACGCTGCATAAAGAATGGGCAAGGTCAAAAAGTAAAAATGGATGTGCCTAATAACTTCTACAGAAATAGGGTTGTCACTAAACGTGTGTAAGATTTACTGCATCCACTCCCAATAAGTTAGAATAAATTTTTTATTGGGCCTAATTCATGGACATGTTGCACAGCAAACACATTGAGATTAATTGTGGGTAAATCCTGTTTTTTGTATTTTTCGCAAATGTTAATTGTTGCATATATTTCCTATTTTATTTTTATTTTGTGTATTTTAGACTAATTAGACTCAACTGTTCCCTGAGCGATATTAGTGATCATCTAATCTATTTATTCTACATATATATTTACTAAAGATGTGGTTCTCGTTGTACTCCTTGTTTCCTCCTCTCCATGATTGATGTCAAGTTGTTGTTGTTGTTATTGTTGTTGTTAGCCTCAAGGGCAACAACAAAGCGTCTGCTAAATACATAAACATAAACATTCTCTTGTTTGCAGTGGTCTCTAGTAGGAATGAATGCCTTGTGTGTTTTACTCTGGGAGGAAAAAAAGCTCTGGTGCACCAGCTTCACAATCTAGAACTGGACTAAATCAGAGCTGAGCTTTATGGGCCATTCCCATCTGTACCGGGTCGGCCCGGGCCGGGTAGCGTAGGTTGTTTACATATCTGGGTGGCCTGGTATTTTTCCGGGCCAACCAAGGCTCATTCTCAGCCCTCTTCTCGAGGGAGTCTGCTTCAGGCCGACCAGGGCCAACACACCCACTGCTGACAGCAAATTCACACCTTCCATTAGAGCAAGCCTCTGATTGGTGGGTAGAATCAGCCCACATGGGCTTAAGGCAAGGATGTGTGGAATCAACCGGGCCAGGCTGGGGCCGACTGGGGCTACCCGGCCTGGGCCGACCCGGTACAGATGGGAATGGCCCATTAGATGGCAGGATCTGGACTCTTATTTCCTGATATTTGGCCATCACACCTCTGATTGTATAATAGCAACACAACACTGACTCAATTTGCTTTGCAACACTGATGTTTTATCTCCACAAATAACACAAGCCTGAAGTAAATGTGCAGTGTTGTGGAGTTGCTAAAGCTAACAGTTAGCTCCTACTAGCCGAGACGTTCTCTGCTGATACCTGGGGTAATGGGCTCGATACACGGGAGGCGACATCGCCTCTCCTCCATTCATTTTCAATGAGACATGCGTGACAAAGCGATAATCGTGGGTCTCCCTCCTACCAAGCGAAACGCAGAAAACGTGCATGTGAAATTTTGCGCTCGTGCACGTGTCGTGCACAGGCGACCCAGCGACGCGATCCCAGAAAGTTGAAACAGTTTCAACTTTTCATCGCTGTCGCTCGGATGAGGACCAATCAACTGAGGTTTCATTCACTGACCAATGAGCGGACAGGATGCTCCGTACACCTCCGAGCAAACATGGAGGAGAAGTTGATTATTATTATGTTTTATAGTAAAATCAGAAGTAAGATTTCACATAACTCTAGCAGCACCTTGTGAAACATCATATCTACCACTTTATTAACTCTGAACCGCTTAAATAACCTTAATTCCCTCCAACCTGACACAGCCAAACAAAGCAACAGAAGTTTCAATTTCACCATGGAACAGAACGCGTAGACGGCTTTGCCGCTGCCGCGGATCGCCTCCCGTGTGTCAGGTAATTAAAGCGACGGCAAAAAAATTTCGCTGATCGCGGTCGTTTGTCGCCTCTCGTGTGTCGAGCCCATAAGCCCGTCTCTGGGCCGCACAGCCCCAAGTGTGAGTGGAGTAAAACTCTAGTTGCGGGGTGACCATCGACATATATACAGGACAATTTGTGTCCATAGGCTCCAATTATAAGTTTTTGTGCCAAAATGGGAGGTGGCTCTATTAAATTTAAATTTCATGGTTAAACAGTACATATTAAAATGGTAGTTAGCAGCCACTTTGATAAGCTCAGCTAGCGCAAGAGCGGCAGTGACCTAAAATACATAAATATAATTTTACTTACTGAAAAAAATGAAGTGGAGACTCCTTGGACGCTCTATTGGTGCAATTAATGCCACAGCAAGTCATTTTGTCCAACAATTGCACAAAAAATATCCAAAAAAGAATACACAAACGGCACAACTAATAGTCTAAGTTGAGAGACTGAAAACGGCGGAACAGTTTTCAGGTGAGACTGAGGCTCAGACTGAGGCCTTTCCCCGGAGCTAGCTCTGCGGTCACGTGGGTCTGATGCTCATTAATTATACAGAATTTTAGGCTTTTAATACACTTAAACAGAAGAGTGAGAAAAACATTCACCCCCCTCAGAGTTGTCATGAGTGTAAACTAGATCATTTAAACCAAAAACATGTTTTGGAACCAGGCTGTAAACATGTTTATTTCTGCTGTGAAATTGGTATTTTTAGCATGGGAGTCAATGAGGATTTGCTCGCTTCTGACACCAGCCCCCAGTGGATGAGGGTGGAACTGCAAATTTTGTCACTTCCTGATTTGCTTCATATCCAGACCCAAAACATGGGGGCTTGGGAGTGACTCGCACTTTAACCTGAGACCCTGTGTCCACATGAGGACATTGGCTTCTTGCACTATAATATTTTATTCTCTTCAACTTAGACCTTTTTTAATATTTACACACTTGATATTGACTAAGTGTAAACATTTTTCTATTTCTTTTTCTTCTTTTTTTTAAGTTTGTCAACATTTTAATGTTTTTTGTTCACGTTTTATGAGTCGACTAATCTGTAATGGCTAGAATTGTGTTTTCCTTTAAATCACACCAAATACAAATTCAGATAAAATATGTATATGTATGTATAATACATGGTATACGTGAGAATAATATTTGTAAAACAGTGTGCTGCATTTTTCTGCCTCTAGATGGTGCCCTTTCACAACATAAATGCTGGGTTTTAGCTGAATTATCCAACCCAATTAATCTACGTTTACATTTGTTTGTGTGGTCAGGGTTTGCTGCTGCACGGTTCGCTCCCTGAAGAAGACCAGGATGGATCCGTAAACTTCGGAGACGCCCGGGCGACCACCGAGCAGCAGCTGGTACATCCCACGTCCCTCTGTCTGCTAACCTGAGAAACTTTCTCACCACTCTGGTGCAAAGTGTCTGTGGCAGGCCTTCTCTTGTGATGATGTTTGCAGCCATCACTCCTCTGGAGAGCACATATGAATTCTCTCTAATCTGCTAGCCCACTGTCATGCTCTTCCATCGCCTCTTCATATGTTGTTCTGACAATTTCCCGTTCTCTAATTATCCCGCTCCCTTTGAAGGTTCTAATCCGCAGTCGTCTGGACCAAAGCACGGAGGAAGCCCTTGATCTGAAGGTACAGTAAGTAAGTGGAATTGGAATGAATTTAGATGAGCTTCCTTTTCTTTAATGAGCGTGTTCATGCGTGCTCTTCATAGAGGGAACTCCTGAGGCACAAACAAGAGACGCGGCACATTCAGGCCATCAAGGTAAAGCGCTTACTCTGATTTTGTACTTGCACTGTGAATTAAAACAAATTAACGGGCGTAATTTAGGACGATTCAGTGGTTTTTTTGCAGAAAGAAAGTGCAGAAATTAAAAACAAGCAATAAACAAGGCAGGTGGATGCACTTGATCTGTATTTGAGACTTAACCTCTTTGATCTTCTGCTCCTCCTCATTAGGATGCTCTGCAGCAGCGTCTGGCGGTGCAGGAGGAGGCTGTGCTGCAGCTAAAGCAGGAACTACTGAGGTGCAACATGGCCAAAGATCAGTTGGAAGGAGAAAATGTGAGACAAGTGATGATTTCCTTCATGACCTGATCAATTGTTTCACTCGGAGGCAGCTGAGAGAAATCCAAAACTCGTGTTTCTGCCTGCAGGAGGAGCTCCAACGCAAGCTGAGCGAAAGAAACAAATTCCTCAGTGAATACGAGGTGTAGCTTGATGTTATTTAGATGTCATTGAGATTTAGTGTTTTTGTAGATATGAGCTTTTACTTTTTTTTTTTTTTTTTTTTTACCATCTAGCAGCAGCTTGGCAGGAAGGACAGATTCCTGCTGCAGCAAAGGCTCGATGAAGCCCAGCATAAAGCACAGGAAGGGAGCCACGTACGGGTACGGACCACGGCACGATCTTCTCAAATCACAACTTCACACACTTGACTTCTCATCAATTAATCACTTGCAAACACCTCAGCTGCTGATGCGTTTAGGAGAGAACTCAACACTTCTAAGATTGGAAACCCGCAGGACAGCAAATGGCGTATTTGTTGGGTTTCACGAGTAGATTAATACACATTTCCTGCACCAGTGGAGCTTTCTTTGCAGTGTGATGTGAGAATTACTCAAAACAGAGTGCAGCTGTTTTCATCCTCATAAGATACACATCACCTGGTGCAGCAATGTGAGCCACTGATGTGTTTATAATAGTTTTTTTGGACAACAATAAAGCTTTTATTCAGATGAATAACCCCAACCTGCTGTGCTGTACCACTAGCCACAGTTTGTTCTTTTTATTGCCTTTTCTAACAATGATTATTTTAGTTCATTAAAAAGGTTCGCCTCACACATCTGTATTAATGTAAACTGTTTTCGCTTGACAGTCGTTCAGGAGTGAAAATGGTGGCTATAGTAACTCGATGGCATCAAAGTCTCCTGCAGCGTTTCAGCACAACGCACCAGTATGTACTCTTCATTTTTTTTTATTATTTCATTAATATTCAGCAAAGTTTTGTGAAAAAGCAGGACTTTGATAAAAAAGAAAGGAAAAAGTTTAAATCAAAAATATTAATTGGTTTAGTTCTAAGAAAAAAATGTCAATTATCTTTTCAGATTATTAAGTCGTAAGTATTACGTTTTAATGTCTTTTTTTAACTTTAATAATTTTATGTGAATAAGATATTCAAGGTATTAATACACTTTAATTACACACAAGAGTCTGACTAATAAGTTGTGTTTTTGGAGAGCTAATATTGGAAAAATTAAACAAATTTAAAGCAGAAACAGTTTTTTTGTGAGAGGGCATCATCTAGAGGTGGAAATAAGGTATTGCACCTTAAGCCCCACGATTACAGCTGTTAGCCTGACTCTCTTTCTTGAATGCGCACCTCTAGTTGACAAACTGAACTAAAACTGTTTATTTTACGATGATTATTTTCATGTTATGCTTTTTATTTTATATATAATTCCCATCTCACCCTCAGTGGGTGGTCTCATCCTTCCAAACTCGGGTCCTCTACCAGAGGCCTGGGAGCTTGAGGGTTCTGCAGTATCTTAGCTGTTCCTAGAGCTGCTCTTTTCTGGACTGAGATGTCTGTTTTTGCTGGGATCTGCTTTAGCCACTCCTCCAGTTTGGGGGTTACTACCCCGAGTGCCCAGATGACCACGGGTACCACTGATATCTCCACTCTCCAGGCTTTCTTGGGTTCTTCTTTGAGGCTCTAGTACTTCTCTAGTTTCTCGTGTTCCTTTTTCCTGCTGGGTGTCGCCACATCAACCACAATGGCTGTCCTCTATTGTTTGTCCACCACCACAATGTCCGGATGGTTCTCCATCACCATTTTGTCAGTCTGGATCTGGAAGTCCCACAGGAACTTGGCTCTCTCATTCTCATCCACCTTAGTGGTGTTACCCACTTTGATCTTGGGGCTTCCAGTCCATACTCTGCACAGATGGTTCTGTACACGATACCAGCCACTTCCCCTGCCAGCATCGTACACCCTGCAGTTATGTGGTGGATTGTCTCAGGGACCTCTTTGCATAGCCTACACCTTGGGTCTTGTCTGGTGTGGTAGATCTCGGCCTCTGTTGCTCTGGTGTTCAGGGCCTGTTCCTGTGCAGCCATGATGAGAGCTTCTGTGCTCTTCTTCAGACCAGCTCTTTCTAGCCATTGGTAGGATTTCTTGATATCAGCCACTTCAGTTTTCTGTCAGTGGTACATCCCATGTAGGGGTTTGTCTTCCCATGATGGTAGATGGTAAAATGGTAAATAGCTTGTATTTGTATAGCACCTACTTAGGGTTCTACAACCCCCCCAAGGTGCTTCACAACACAATCAGTCATTCACCCATTCACACACTGGTGGGGATGAGCTACGATGTAGCCACAGCTGCCCTGGGGCGTACTGACAGAGGCGAGGCTGCCGAGCACAGGCGCCACCGGTCCCTCCGACCACCACCAGCAGGCAAGGTGGGTTAAGAGTCTTGCCCAAGGACACAACAGCAGCATTCTCTGGTCGGAGCCAGAATCAAACCTGCAACCTTCCGATTAGTGGACAACCTGCTCTGCCTCCTGAGCTACTGTTGCACCTATTTACGGTATTTCCAGCGTCTCCTCCTCTATTCGCTATTGTCTGAGACATTCACTGAGCACGTCATCTGTTGGGGCCTTATCCTTGATGTACTTATGGATCTTGGAGGCTTCATCCTGGACGGTGGCTCTCACACTCACCAGTCTTCAGCCTCCTTCATTAAGGTTAGTGTACAGTCTCGGTGCTGGATTTGGGATGGAACCCTCCATGCATGGTTAGGAGCTTACTTGTCTTAACATCTTTGTCCTGTCCTATCTATCTATCTATCTATCTATCTATCTATCTATCTATCTATCTATCTATCTATCTATCTATCTATCTATCTATCTCTATTATCTATCTGTCTATCTGTCTGTCTATCTGTCTATCTATCTATCTGTCTGTCTGTCTGTCTGTCTGTCTGTCTGTCTGTCTGTCTGTCTGTCTGTATGTATACAGGTGCTGGCCAGTAAATTAGAATATCATCAAAAGGTTGAAAATATTTCAGTAATTCCATTCAAAACGTGAAACTTGTACATTATATTCATGCAATGCACACAGACCAATGTATTTCCGATGTTTATTACGTTTAATTTTGATATTTATAGGTGACAACCAATGAAAACATCAAATCTGGTATCTCAGAAAATTAGAATATTCTAAAGGCCAATGAAAAAATGTTTGTTTCTCTAATGTTGGCCAACTGAAAAGAATGAACATGAAAAGAATGTGCATGTATAGCACTCAATACTTAGTCGGGGCTCCTTTTGCCTCAATAACTGCAGTAATGCGGCGTGGCATGGACTCGATCAGTCTGTGGCACTGCTCAGGTGTTATGAGAGCCCAGGTTGCTCTGATAGTCGTCTTCAGCTCCTCTGCATTGTTGGGTCTAGCGTATTGCATCCTCCGCTTCACAATACCCCATAGATTTTCTATGGGGTTAAGGTCAGGCGAGTTTGCTGGCCAATCAAGGACAGGGATACCATGGTCCTTGAACCAGGTGCTGGTGGTTTTGGCACTGTGTGCAGGTGCCAAGTCCTGTTGAAAGGTGAAGTCTGCATCCCCATAAAGTTGGTCAGCAGCAGGAAGCATGAAGTGCTCTAAAACTTCCTGGTAGACGGCTGCATTGACCCTGGACCTCAGGAAACAGAGTGGGCCAACACCGGCAGATGACATGGCACCCCACACCATCACTGACGGTGGAAACTTTACACTGGACCTCATGCAATGTGGATTCTGTGCTTCTCCGCTCTTCCTCCAGACTCTGGGTCCTTGATTTCCAAAGGAAATGCAGAACTTGCTTTCATCAGAAAACTTAACTTTGGACCACTCAGCATCAGTCCAGTCCTTTTTGTCCTTGGCCCAGGCGAGACGCTTCTTGCGCTGTTTCATGTTCAAGAGTGGCTTGACACACGGAATGCGACACCTGAATCCCATGTCTTTCATGAGTCTCCTCGTGGTGGTTCTTGAAGCGCTGACTCCAGCTGCAGTCCACTCTTTGTGGATCTCCCCCACATTTTTGAATGGGTTTGTCGTCACAATTCTCTGCAGGGTGCGGTTATCCCTAGAGCTTGTACACTTTTTTCTACCACATTTTTTCCGTCCCTTCGCCTGTCTGTTAATGTGCTTGGACACAGAGCTCTGCGAACAGCCAGCTTCTTTAGCAATCACCTTTTGTGTCTTGCCCTCCTTGTGCAAGGTGTCAATGATTGTCTTTTGGACAGCTGTTAAGTCAGAAGTCTTCCCCATGATTGTGGTGCCTTCAAAACAAGACTGAGGGACCTTTTAAAGGCCTTTGCAGGTGTTTTGAGTAAATCAGCTGATTAGAGTGGCAGCAGGTGTCTTCTATATTCAGCCTTTTCAGAATATTCTAATTTTTTGAGATACCAAATTTGGAGTTTTCATTAGTTGTCACTTATGAATATCAAATTTAAATGTAATGAACATTGGAAATACATTGGTCTGTGTGCATTGCATGAATATAATGTACAAGTTTCACGTTTTGAATGGAATTACTGAAATATTTTCAACCTTTTGATGACATTCTAATTTACTGGCCAGCACCTGTATATATATATATATATATATAATGTGTATATGTATAATGTGTATATGTGTATATATACACACACACACACATATATATATATATATATATATATATATATATATATATATATATATATATATATATATATATATATATATATATATATATATATATATATATAGTGCGTGTGTGTGTGTGTGTGTGTGTGTGCACATTCGAGAAAGAGGCATGGCCGTAAATCTCCAACTGTACATGAATCAGAGAAGAACAATGCTCGCTCTCTTACTGCAAACATTTGCAGCATTATGTTATGAAAGAAACATGACAAGGAGACCCAGAAGTGTTGAGCTGAAATGGGAAAACATTCCACTTTCCAAAGCGTTTTGTCCCCCTCAGTTCTCCGTCACATGCAGTGATAAAAGACGCCACGCTGATAAGGCAGGAGTGAAACAGCGTAGCAGTAAACATGCATCTGGCTTGACTTTTTCAACATGTTCCACTGAAACACTTGGTTTTAAACAATGTTTCTATCATGGTATTGCATCTTTATTTCAAATTTGAACTATTTGATTAATTTTTAGAAGTAGGATTACATAAAATGTTGAAAACTTGAGGTTTTCTGACACAGGGTGAGGAGCTGCAGCTGGTTAGGGAAGCACTTCGCAGTCTGAGGGACAGTTTCTCGGGTCACGACCCCCAGCACCACACCCTGGACACTCTGGAGCAAGGCGTGGCCAGTCTCATGGACCGCCTGCACTCACTGGACGTCCAGCGCAGACAGGACAGAGGGGTACGCACTCACTGGTTATCTCTGAATGAATTCTTAAAAGTTGTGGCATGTCTGTCAGCTTAAGCGATGACTGAATCACACGGTTTACGGTGAGTAATCTGTCGTCCTAGGAGGAATTTAAATCACCAGGTCGTAGAGCCAACTCAACAGACCGTGACTCCTGGCCGCCAAGCTCTAGTGAGACAAACCAACTCTTTGTTTCATTTTTTTATTAATAATATTATTTAGTATTTGTCATCCCCTGCAACCGCACAAATGATAGTGTTTGTTTCCTCTGCTGTGTATGGAGAAGGCACCCGCTGTGAGAACAGAGCTATTCTCTAATTGTGAAAAAGAACATCACTTTTTTTTTTATTGTTCCCAGAAATGGCACACTCACACAGCAGCCCTGGCCTAGACGCTGTCGTCTCCACTAAAGTGCTCTACTTCACAGATCGCTCGCTCACTCCCTTCCTGATTAACATCCCTAAAAGGTGAAAACAAAAACCACTTTTAATCACTGGCTTATGTCGCTGTCCGTTCCTTGCTGCAGGGTGCGTTATTTTTAAGAGAATTACTGTCTTGGCTAGAGATGGATGAGCAAAACTTTAAAAGGGGTCCTTCAGCGGCTCGGTGTTTATCCCAGAAAAGCTTAATGTTGTGTGTGAGCGTGCGGACGCGTAGATCATGACTGACAGCGTGTGCTTTCAGGCTGGGTGAAGTGACACTGCGAGACTTCAAGGCTGCTGTAGACAGACAAGGCAATTTCAGATACCACTTCAAAGCCCTTGACCCAGAGTTTGGCACCGTGAAAGAGGAGGTATGACTCGGCGTTCTCTTACATCAGCTTTATGCAAAGATGCACTCCTTCATCTCTGTGTTTGTAACACCGTAGGGTATAGCTCCTTTGCATCTTTTAAATAAAAGTATGTTTATTTTTTTTGTTGTCTATTTGAAGTTTTTTTTATTAACTCATTTGAAGTGTGTTGATGTGTAAAAGTTTTAAATAATTATCCACTGCAGATAAATTCCTGAACATAATCTGTTTGGAGAAATAGTGTCACAAGTTACCTTAATTCTTCTGACAGGACTGATAAGCTAACGGCTAGTCCAAATGCAGACAGGCCGTTTTCAAAATAGTTCCAATCCCCTTTTCACCGCCTTCAGTTTCACAGTACATATTTATTTACATAGAATTACATGAACGTTGGCATGTTTCAAACCATATATCTATGTGCTAAAAATGGCTAGTTAGAATTTATCCACGTCCAAAGAGGTGTCTTAAAGCTGTCTTAAAGCAACTTTAGGCCTGGAATATACTTCGTTTTTAACCTCAAGTTGGCGCAGGCAGCAGGCTACATCTTTGTTCACATATTTGCTTTTGCACGGCATGGCACTGCACTTGCATGCAGTATTGGAAGATTCCACTAGGGGGCACAGTAGAGTACTGAGATCGGATAGAATCCCAGGTTTGTGGGGCACAATCAACACAAACATGCAGAAAAAAAGACAACAGCGGTATCGTAGAGGGTGTGAAAGACCGCTGAACCAGTCACCATGGTGAGTCTGTCTTGCTCATTTTGTTAATTCTGCCCACTGGTTACTGGTATATTGTACTGTTCGAACGCATCGTGTTAATTCCGGGGGACCTGAAAACACAACACTTCAAATCAACACAAGTTAGGTGAGGCAGCCATTTTAAACACGTGTAGGCGTCGTTAAAAATCAAGTATATTCCAGCCCTTACAGTGTTACATTTGCTGACAGTTGATGAAAAATGTATTCCATAAAATGCCATCAATATTGTATAAAAGTTGTTACGGTAGCTTGATAAATAAACTGTTAATAACTATGAATGGCTGCATAAATGATTAAAAAAGAATATATTTTAGTTTAACATGAAACTTGAAATTTTGGAGATTAGGTTTGATTCAAGATGGCAACTAACATCTTTGGTTTTGGCTAGCTGTTAGCGCATGTGTTCTGACAAATGCTGCGTCTCCACTAGACGAGTTCTTGGATATTTTTGTCCTCTCGGCATTTGTCCAAACAAATTTGGCTCTTTAAAGGACTTTACTAAGACGTCACCATATACCGTATTTTCCGTACTATAAGTCACACTTTTTTCATAGTCTGGCTGGTCCTGCGACTTATATAACAAAGTGACTAATAAACCAAATTATGTATACCGTGCTGCTGTGGGCCGGCTCTGGACCAGGAATGAGCTCCCCTGCCCCGCCATCCTCTGCTGGAGACCGTGGTGCGCTGCTGCGCTCTGATTGTTTATTCTGTTATTATTACCAGTACTTGTCTTGCAATGTGAAACGCTTGGTCTCTGATTTTGTAAGAAAAATAATAAAATTTCCCCCCAAAATGCGACATAGTCCAGTGCGACTTATGTTTTTTTTTTTTTCTTCATTATACATTTTATGGCTGGTGCGACTTATATTCCGTAAAATACGGTAGCAACCATTGCAGCAGTGAGTGAGATAACTGATTAGTGCCAAAAAGCCCCCGCAACCATAAACTCGGGCTGTTGAAAAAATCCTAATTATTAAATGCACACTTTTTAGTTTTGCTTGCTTTTAGCACGCCCTAGTGTCCCGTATTAATTCTCTGTGGTAAACCAAAAGTGAAACTTATCTCCTCGCTGTGTGGTGTCATTTGACGTGTCTCCCAAGCCTTCATAAGTTTTTACATGACTGATTCATCTATAAATCAAACAAATCAGATGTGTTCATGATCTGAAACATGCAGGAAATGTGCTGGAAGCAGACCGCAGCACCAGGTATGTCAGCTCCATTATTTTTCTATGTCCAAAAGGTGGTGGCCCGCCACTCTGAAGTAGCAAATGTGATATTCTGGCCACAGAGAGCGGTATGGGTCTGAGTGACATTTCATTAACCATGTAAAGGGACATTTTGGCACATATTGGCTCAAGAAAATGATTTAAAAGTATGAGAAAGTTGCATAGTATCTCCTTAACTTCTCCAACTGGGTAGGAGGCAGATCGTTTCTGCAGTCTGCTCAATCCTCCGGTGAGAGTGTTCGAGCGGGGGAGCATTCTGGGATTCTCCAGAACTTACTGATTGCTAGTCTGTCTCAGACGGCGTTGCAGAGGGATTTCTGCTGAATGTTTCAGTGTTGTGAGTACGGATGGATGATATATTCATATCGATATCGGTCCGATGAATAAAACTGGGCCGATTTTGACAACCGATCTTGTTTCCATTTGCTTATCTGTTTCAGAGGGTGATGGAGGTGATGTGCATTTGTTTAGTCATGTGACAGTGATTGCAGTCATCCCAGAAGAGTAAAATGAGTGTGGTATGTGTACATAATAATGTAAATTCAGCTTTAATCATTTTTATTCTGTACAAAATCTGCTGATTTTAGAAGCTTTAATGTCAGTTTATTAGTATCGGCAAATATCAGTTATCGGCCATACCAGGGATGTTAATATCGGATATCGCTATCGGCTCAAAAATTTCAGATCCGTGCATCACTGGTTGGGAGTTTAGAAACAGCATTTTTAAAGCCAGATCAACTTTGCTTATTTTCTTTTCCGTCCATTCTGCTTCACTGACAACTGTTCCAGTTTTACAAATGCTGGTTGTTTGGTGTCATTTGGTGATTCAATTTCCCACAGAGTTACAATCGGCGTGAGCCAACCACAAGTCCCGCCCAGAATCTCTAAAGGGCCTTTTCTGAGGACACACCATGAGGCAGGTACTCATTTGGTAACAGAGATGGCTCAGGAAGTGGTCTTTTTGGAATGGCCTGGTGAAAGGGAGACACACCAAAATTATTCAGATTTCCATTTAACGAAAACCGGTCTATAAAAGCTACTTCTCCAAACAGAGGCTTTTCAGTAAGCTATTTACAGCAGGTAACGTTGTTGTTATTTAAAACCTTTACACACAAGCAGACAAGACAGCTATAAAAATGCGTATAATGTGTGAATTGCTCTGAAACGTAAACACTGAATGTTGGCTGTTCAGGTGTTTCAGGACGGAGCGATTGTCCCTGGCTGGGAGGGCAAGATTGTAGCGTGGGTGGAGGAGGACCACGGAGAGCGGAGGTAGAACCCCAAACACCAGAGATGACCACTACAAACCTTGGTTGTTGCCACTGGACCAACACACCACCCAAACTCATGAGATGCCATATGAAAGAGCATCGGTCGCATATTAAACCGGGAGTTAGCAGCTTTGGATATGCAGCCATATTTAAAATGTGAATGTTTCATATCAAGAAACTGACTTGACATTTGGGTAAAATATTCTTTAATATATTGCCTACTATCCATATTAACTTGTTAAACAGCCTCTTATTGGTCCGTATTGTGATACTTGAAGCTCTAAACCCTAAAGCAGTGTTAGCTAAAGCTGTAATCGGTCCAGAAACCTCAAAATGGGAAAAAAAAGTTTACTGACATTTTTCACAGGTTCCATGTTGCCAAATGTTGTTGTTGTTGTTGTTGTTCTGCATCAGTTTGGATGTTTTAATAAACATAAATTATTGCATGGATCATTTTACTCAACCATTTCCCCTTTAAATTAGCAACAAAAGGGTTCTGCATCTCACTGTTGTCCACCTCTAGCGAAACATCAGGAAACCTTCACAGAATGTTATAAAGACTAACACAGAGGTTAAGTAACAAGTGGATTTTGGCCCACATGGGGACAATTCCACACGTTTTCCCCAAAACAAACCCTTGCTGCTGAACGTGGAACGACTCCCAGGCAGATGTTTGTTGTATGTTTGAGCGTCTGTGCGTTCCCTAGAAAGGTTTTTTTTTTTGTTTACTTTGATGTATGTTTAGCCTCAGAATCCTCCGTTATCTCTGTGTTTATTATATTTCTTGCTTCTCCATAATGGCGACTGATTACAAAACATCCACCGTCAGTACAAGCCTTTGTTTCTTCTTGTTGAAGACAGCAGACGCGGTGTCTTCGTTTACAGTTACCGGCAGCTCCAGAAGCAGGTGGTACACGTCCGCCACCTCCAGAAGAACATCCTCCTGCAGAGAAAAATGCATCCAGGACTCTGTAATACTCCCTGTAGACCTGTTATGTGTTTTTATCAGATCCAGCGATGCGCTGAAGCCCAACGGACTCTTAAGTGACTCGCTATAACTCTTAGAGGGTTTGTGTGACTGCTAACCTTTGACACTCTCAGCTGGCACTCCGACACGGTGCGAACCTTTGGCAGCTCCACTGTCAGCTCCAGGCTGCGAAGAACTCCTTCTGTGTTGGTCTTCACCTCAAGTTGGTACTCTGGCTTCTGAGGCTCCACAGAAGTGGCAGAGATTACTTGGATCAAGTTCTTTTTGGGTCGCTCTGCAGGTCTACAGATAATTTGGGCTGTAGGGTTCTCTTCCTGTTTCCCTGACTGCTGGGATGAGAGTTGCTGCAGGAGGGAATGTGGAGTCTGACTCACTGTGGTAAGAAAGGTGATAATACATTTTAAATATCAGACTAAACTAAGCTTAAGCGGAGATAATAACAGGGATTAAACACTCGTTTACCTGTTTGTGTTGGTTTGAATGTGTAGTGCTGCTTCTGAAACCCAAGTCGACACTTAAATTGATCCGGGCTGCCATTTGGGCTACACCGGACAACACTGAACTCCTGAGATAGCTGCATCCCATGATGCTGCTGGGCAAAGTTCAGGGCCAGCTTATAGACATAATTAATGTCTTTATCTTTATTCTTCTGTAGCACCGCCGGATTTAACGCCACATCCAACACGACAAACCAGCCTGCATGGAGAAAAGCTTTGAGTTCATGTTTGTCTTAACGAGCAGGCCTGTGGTATAAAACACACCTTGGGCTTCAGTGGTGCCTGTTTCCAGTTTTCCTGTACACACCGGTAAAGAACTGCTGTCATCCCGAGGTGCAGGTACACTTTTCCAGCTGCATATATTAATGTAAAGCAAACCTGGTGTTGGTTCCTGATGAGAACACAGATGTACACTCACAACAGGACATTTCAAAATTATAAATAAGTTTGACTTCATTTATGAACGTGACACGAGTCAAAACTGTTCATCAAAGAATAATAACTACAAATTTTACTGATCCTTACACATTTATTTATGAATTTTCATTCTAGGCTGGTAAAATGTGGATATTTGAAGCTGGGGCAGTGAAGATTTATTCTTAAATTATATTTGCTAATTCTAAAATGTTGAAGTATGGATTATGAATTTCTTATTTTATTTTCACACCGTTGTTGCTACTCTAATGTTACATTATAACCATTGTTGCTCCAAAATAAAAATAAAAACTAATTCAATGATTTTTGTAGACGTTAACGAGTTTTAAATTATAACTATCGATTGGACATTTAAATATTAACATCTAAACTTATATTTAACAATAAAAAATGTTTTTCTAAAACAACAAATGGAGACTGAATGTATGATACATGGGGCTTCCATATATTAGCCTTCCTGAAGTACACCTGGCTGGAACTTCCTCACCTGTCGCCAGTTTAACTTACCAGGATTGGAGTTTTAATGCAGGAGTGGAGCTCAGGTGGAGAACATATTTCTGCTCCTTTCTTCATTTGCTCCTCGATGAATTTGTGGTATCCTGCTGGGTCATTCTGAGACAAGTCATCCAGCATGGACCAGAACTGGTTGACCTGCTGCAGGACATCCTCTGTCCGGCCAGCCGAGGACATGGTACGCTACCTGCTAGCTACTTTTAGCTAGCTAGCCCCTGCTGCTAGTTCGATTAGCTTCAATAGAGGAGGGATACAAGCTAGAAAAATGCTAGAGTGTAAGCGTTAAAAATAGAGGAAAAGGTTTGTATGTGGTATATTTAAAAAAAAGTGTCGTTATTGTTTTAAGAATTTAAAAACGAGCAAAGTCGTAATAAAAGCATTAACGATGCAAAAAGAGCCCCAGCTGCGCTAAAGTTCGTTGCTATGGAAACCACAAAACTTTAAATCGTCGCCACCTAGCGGATAAGATGAACTGCAGCTTTAGTAATCATACCCCACATAGCTGACTGGTCTGGGCCAGATCTGGCATCAGCATGGCACTGCTGGCTGACTGCTGGCATGGCAACCAGCGTTTCAGCCGAGTTCTGGCACTAAATACATACCAGACATGACCCAATAGTGGTTAAGGTGTATGTGGCCCGGATCTGTATGCTAAATGTGGGTCTATTAGGGCTGAACCTATGTTGCCCATTGCATGCAATTCTCCATCAAATAAATACTTCCTTTTTTTTCTAATTTTAGAGATACCAGCATCCCATTCAAAATTCTATGAATTGTTTTTATAATTTGTTTGCTAATACATTTAGGATACATTATGACAAATTTTGTCACTGCAAAAAACTTGGTAACGCTTTAAAAGATTGACTGATATATGTGGGGGTGGGGGTGGTTGAGTTGGTAGAAATCATGTTGCAGTCAGGCGAGCCAAGCCATTGTGTTAAAAAGAAGCATGATTTTATTATCAGTACATAAATAATATAACAGAAAACACATGTTGATACATTCTGTCTATTCATATGTGAACACCATATAACTGACATATGTATTTAATGTATGATTGTTCATAACGTCTCAAACACACTAAGGGCATCCTCTTGTTTGTTGTTTTCAGTAACTCTGCAAACAAAGAGAGTGATCATTAGCAATCAGTGTAAATTGTTTCATTGTGCAGCCTTTAGTGCTGCAGAGCAAAAACATAATGCAAATGACTGTAGTCAACAATCTCATGTGATCTAAACAGTTTTGATGTTGTAGTTCATTATTGCAAAGAGGGAAAAAAGGCCTTCTACTACTAGAAAAAGCAACTGAGAATGAAAGTTTTTGAAACAAATCTATAATTTTTAACTAATTAATTTGCTAACTATATTGCAGCTGTTTGATTAAACGGTATAGCACAATAGGGTTGGCATTACATTGTTTATCTTTGTGGTTTTTTGTTATTTTAACAGCAAAATAAACCAAACCTCAATTATATGATAGATCCAGTCCAAGAATTCAGCCACTTTGGTGTAAACCCCTGGATGGTTTGGTTCCGCACATCCTGTCCCCCAGCTGACGACTCCCACCAGCCTCCACACATTCTCATCCTGGCAAACCAGAGGACCGCCACTGTCCCCCTGGAGAGGTAGATGCACAAGCTCTTCTCTAAATCTCTAAGCACAAACAGTGGTGTCAAGTTCAAATACTTTGTTACCCTACTTAAGTAGAAATCGTGGGTATCCATACTCCACTGCAAATGCTATGTCCGCTGCTTAAATTTTCATACAATTTCCTCTGTCTTCTACTCCTTACAGTGTAAATTAGCCTTGTTGTTTATATTTCATTTCAGATTTTCATTGTTAAAGAAACCCTCAAAGATAAAAAGATATATTGTAAGATACGATCTAGATAATTTGCACCAATGCATTCGGACACAGTTGGTTTGTATCATCCACATATGGTTCAAACAGGATACAAAAGGGATCTTTGATGTTATTCTGTATGGGAGGGGTGGGAAACCGACTACTGTGTGGTTGTTTTTAATATTGTAAAGCGCTTTGAGCTGCATTTTTATAAAAAGAGCTTCATAAATAAATTTGATTTGATAAGACGAATGCCGCGGGTATGTATGCCCCTCCTGCAATGGCGCCTCCAAGGGGTGGCCAGGGGTGGCCATGGCCACACCTAGAAAATTGCTGGGCCCCCCAGCAAAAGCCAGTGTTAATAAATCATATTAATGTTCACTCAAACCATAAATTGATCTTATTTAATCAAGACATTATTGTAAAACAAAATTAAAATAATACAATTAATGAGTAAAAACTTAATCAAAATAAAAAATACATGTGTTTCTTCTGCTCATCATTTAAAAAAAGTTTTTATCTCCATAGTTTTTTTGTGTGTGTGAACACAGCAACAGGTGAATTAAATTTAAAAAAATACATTTTAAAATAAAATTAGAAATAACATTTTAAACAGCTGAAAGGTATTTTTCTGAAATGTTTGTGTTTGTAAAATTAAAATAGTTTTGGATACGTGCTGTTTTAATAAAAAACAATAAAGTAGCAATGCAATACATCGCCACAGGCTAAACTCTCCCAGAGTTACCACACGGACCAATTTGGTGTGCCACCCCAAAAATTTCTTTGGCCCTGTCTGGCCACCCCTATCAAAATTTTCTGGAGGCGCCCCTGCCCTCCTGCTATAATAGAGTTCATATGGATAAAGTTACTTCCTTCCTTTTCTTCATGAAGAGCGATTTGTCATGATTCTTTAGTTTTTATATGGTCTTCTAGCCCAGGCTCTGCTGTTTGTAAGAGGTGCAGCTTGTTGATATTCATTGATATGATGCTACATTTTCTTTTATTAAGTTTATTAATCATAATTACCACATTAAATTTGCACCCATAATTTTATATAACATTATAGTAATTTTAGCCTTTAGTACAAATGTTTTCTTGGAATTGGTTTACTCAAGTAAAAAGCTAGAACTGATACTGAATTCTCTATAGTCTTTTAAAACCATAGTATCTATACTTCTACCAGAGTATCCATCCATCCATTTTCTGAACCCGCTTTGTCCACGCAGGGTCACGGGGGGGCTGGTGCCTATTTCTAGTGGTCAACGGGCAATAAGGCGGGGTACACCCTGTACAGAGAGCCAGTCCATCGTAGGGCAACACAGAGACACACAGGAAAAAAAAAACAATCACACACACACACACACACTCACACCGTAAGGTTGGTTTATGCTTGACGCGTCCGCGAGGTCCGCATGGCTCTGCGCAGAAAAGTTGCGTAATTTTGCATCATTTTACCAACCACGCCCCTCTACCGCGCCTCCGCACGGCCCAAAATTTCCGCAACGTGCACCTAGTAAATTTTCTAACCACGCGGACGGTCGGACGCGGAAAAACATGGCAGACTGGCAAGAACTAGTACGGCAGAGGTTCGTAAATACAGTCATTTGTATGATTCAGATCTCAAAGATCACCGTGATCAACATGTTGTTAATAATTCTTGGAGAGCAATAGCTCGCACTGTCGGAAAAGACGAGGACACTGTTAAAATTGCTAAAATGCCATGTTGTAAACAGTAACTTCTACTTCTACTATGGTGTAGTGTTGGATGCATGCTGTAGAGCTCCATGCTGCCCCCTACAGTTTGGGAGAATATTGGCTCACCGCAGAGACGAGCCGCATGAACCATAAACGCTGCGAGTTGTGAAGCGCGTTCCATCCGCGAGCCGCATCACCAAGCGGAAAGTGAATGCGTTAAGCATTAGACATTAGACAGACCAATCAACCTAACAGTCATGTTTTTGGACTGTGGGAGGAAGCCGGAGTACCCGGAGAGAACCCACGCATGCACAGGGAGAACATGCAAAATCCATGCAGAAAGATCCCAGGCCGGGAAGTAGGGCTGCTCAATTAATCGAATTTTAATCACGATTACGATCTGAGTTTTGAACGATTTTAAAAAAACAAAACAAGCCGATTATTTGCTCCTCCCGCTTGCGCTGCCCTGAGTTGCAAATGAAGCGTTCCTCCACAGTTTTGCCAACTTAGCGACTTTGACGCTATTTCTAGCAGCTTTTCAGACCCCCTTCTTGACTTTTTAATCCTAAAAGTACCTAGCGATCACCTCAGAAACATCTCTGGTAACCCTTAGCTACTTTCTGGATAACTGTCGTCGACATTTCCTGCAGGTTAGCTAAACACTCCTCCTGTGCTCCGGACCGTTCTTCACAACATTAGGAAAGGGAATGATGCAGTGATGTGTCAGTCGCTAAAGAAACAGCTCTCGGAGCCGGCTCCCTGTTGGAGTAACCAGAGTGAGTGACACACACACCGCACCTGCGGACTCCTGAGCCACTAAAAACGGCTAAATGTGCGCGTGCAGCGTGCTAAACACACGTGCAGCTTGCCCGATTGCTGTGAGACCGGGGTGGGGGGGTGGGGGGTGCAGCTGTGGTTGGACAATTATTACATTAACTGATGGACTTGTAAATAAATAGTTTATAAATAAGGTAGAAATAAGTTCCTCACGCTGATAACTAATAACTAATCTCTCTGAGGACACGGTACTAGTGCACTCTCCTACAGCACCTTGACACGACTCAATAAATGTTATGCAACATTTTGTGAACATCAATTTATTTGCATTAATTTGTTATAAATGCCACTGTATAATTCTTGCTGTCAGTATTTGCAAGATATTGGTATTTGGGTCTGTACTGGTTAGACTTAAATGAGTTAAACCAAGGTCTATAGCCCTTGGGTCATAAACTATGAGCTATAAGAATATTGGTCTTTTTATCCTGGGAATCAGGAGTTCTTTTAGTGATCATCTTGTTTCTTATTTTTGTCCTGATTGTGCCCTGAGCAATTTTATGACTGAATAAAAACAAATAAAATCAACATAAATTGAAAAATCGTCCTAAATAATCGTGATCTCAATTTCAGTCACCATAATCGTAATTATTATTTTTGCCATAATCGAGCAGCCCTACCGGGAAGCGAACCCAGGACCTTCTTGCTTCAAGGGAACAGCTCTAACCACTGCGTCACTGCGCAGCCGATCTACCAGAGTAATGAATGTGAGTACTTCTACTCTGAACATGCATCACAGAAGAGGAGGAATCTTAGTTTTCTAAACACGTCTGACCTGACACGCGTCTACTTTCCCCTCTGTGTATCCCGCACAAAGCATTCGTGGTGTGATCTCTCCGTTGTACATGCAGGAGCTGTTGCACCTCTTTGTGCTTATTATAGGAACTGGCGCCTCTTTCAGAGTATCAGGTGAATGAACTGAGGGGGGGAAAAGATGCATGAAGGTAACTTTGTAAATATGAACGTCACGTTCCAACACCGTGTTGCAGTACTGAGAATGGAAACTCAGCTTACCACCATCAGGCTGTGTGTACCCCCATCCAGAAATCCAGCACTGCGTACCACCTGGGAGGTCATAATCAAACTGAGGCAAGCAGATGGGTCTAATTGTATCTAGTTAAAAAGAAAAAGAAGGTTTGCCTCTTTAACACAATAAATCTGACTGTTTACAACATTACTGGATTAAACGATGATTCTTTTCACCTAAACCGTTTTACTGTGGGGACTTTAATCCATGTGGTTTAAAAGATTTACACCAGCTTTGCCCTCTTGTGTTTGTCATGTAAGGACATTAGTGTTGTTTTGCTGCTACACCAGCCCACATGTTAATGGCTGAACCTTGTGCCAGGCAGACCTGAGAAATTGAGTGGCCTTCGCAGCTTCATCAAGGCTATATCGCTGTCATGGCTCCTATGGTTGTAATTCTTGTTATAGATGATCTTCTCCACTGCATAGCCTGCAAGTTGGGCTGTTTTAGCCGAGCTGCGGGTCACGATGCCAGCATAGACCATCCAGCTGGACACCTGAGGTAGCCTGTAGCTGACATTTCACAAGAGAAAGTGAAGTCAGACATTCATAAGGGGGAATGCTCAGCTTTTAATGACTGATTGCTGTCCTTTAAAGCAGCTGTGACCTTTGGCCTTTGATGGTGTTAACGTTAGCGCTCTTACTTGTGCACACAGTGGGCTGCTGTTACTATCCATTGACTGGTGATGATAGAGCCTCCACAGGTGTGACGGTTGCTGTAGTAGAGGCTGACCTGCCAGGGCCACCTGCCCAGCGCGGCCTCCATTCCTCCTATTATCCTGGGCAGCTTTGCTCGCACCCCGCACTCTATAAGGACCCATTTATCAGCAAGGACAGCAAATACATTCATTCTCTCTGCTTTTTAAAGGGGACATGTTATGCAACACTTTCCTTTTGCTTCCCTTTGTGCTGCCATGCGGGTCTCTATAAACACTCCAAACTTGGCAATAACCCATCCTTTTGTTTTCGGTCTGCTTGATTATAGAGGTTATGTGCCTAAAACAAACTGTTTCATAAATTCCACATTTATGATGTCACAAATGGGTAAATTATCATAGACCCACCCCTCAACTCTCCAGGCGGGAGGAGCAGTGGTTGTACTCTGAGCCCCTCCAGGATGTCTGAGCTTCTCAGCTTATAGAAGCTTGAGCTGGGATGGGTGGGCGTGGCCAGCTTCAGCTTTTTTATTTTAAAGGTACAACTTGTAAGAACAAACAGCCTGTGATCCGTGGTTACGTTGTCTATTTTTAAGTAAACATATTACTGTCTCGTTGCTTTTCCTTGGGTTTCATAGCTGTTGCCAGTTACAGAGCGGCACCAGAAGATTCTAGGTGACAAGCAAAGACGAGTCACAATAAGTTAAGTGGATAAATACACGTATTCCTGTTGCGGCAGTCTGGTTCCAGCACATTTCCTGATGAACACAGCTGATTTAATTTAGAAAACAATGAAGGCTGGTGAGAAATTTCAGCAGTTAAATTAAGGTGTTAAAAAGAGGAACGCACAGCGAGAAGTTTTGCTTTCGGTTTGACCACAGAGAATTGATAACAGAGACTTGGAGGGTCTGAGGCCCTGTCCACATGTAGCCGGGGATCTGCCAAAACGTAGATATTTTTCTACGTTTTGGCCTGTCATCCACACGAAAACGGAGTTTTTTCACACGAAAACGGATCTTTTTAAAAACTCCGGCCAAAGTGAAGCTCTGCGTTTTCTCTGCTTTGGGTGTCTGCGTGTGGACAGACAAAACCGGAGTTTTAAGGTCCGCAACGTCACTTTCCGCGACAAGAAAATGCTGACATCACGTGTGCGACCTGTGTTTACACTAGCCGACAGCATGGATGCCCTCAGAGCTGCGCTCGCTTTATCAGTTGTCCAAGCGCTTTTTGCTTGTTTGTTTTTGCAAGCGGAATTACTGCTCCTTGCGGAAGACCACAGACGAAGGATGAGTTTGAGAACGGGGGAAGTACTGCCGCCTACAGGTCTGGCATGTCCTTAACAACGTATTTATCTAGGTAAGTGTGGACAGAGTTTGTTTTTAAAACGAGGTGGTGTGGATGCAAGTTTTTGGAGGGGCAGATATTCGTTTTTAAAAGAACCCGGCTACGTGTGGACTAGGCCTAAGAGCAAGCAAATCTGTCAAGTGTGCCTTTAAAGGAAATCAATTCACTGGAATGTGAAGTTGTTGGTAATTTAAAAAGTAGCTTGAAATATTTTAGAGCTGACCATTTGCTTCTAATTCACCGTTGGTTTTGTTAACTCGCCGTTGGCCTCTAGCCTGCTAGAGTAAATCCAAAGATATCTTAGCTTCTTAGGAGTACAAAAAATAACTCCTGGGTTGCTCCTGTTTACTGGCTTCAGTCCTTCAATCGACTCTGGAGCTTTTTGCCTGTCGGTGTTGGATTACAGATGTCTGCGCTGCTGCATAGCCTGCTGCAGATTCAGCAACCTCACAAGAGTGTAAACAGTAACTACGTCCCACTTTTTTATTCTTTGAAGGTAGAAAATCTGACAGCCCCCAGCTGGTGGAGAATGAAATCTGTTTTTATGTAACATTTCTTCCATCACGATTAAGACATTAGAATATTTTGATTATTTCACTCTAGAATTCTTAGAAATTGCACCTTTAAAGTGACAGAGCCCTGAAACGCCTCATTCTGGAAGGTACTGAAACTGTCAAAATTAAAGCTATGGCTATGTGAGAGGGATTTATTGTAAAGAACTTTAATAAAATGTTTTGTATTAACAGAACTAATAAAACTGAAGTCATATGTCCCTTTTAAAAAGAACAACTAAAGGGTTTGGTACCAGGTGCAAAGTTAATCTGAAAGTTGACTTTAATTTGCTCACCAAAGCACTGCAAAGCGATAACCTTCCCCGTGATACAGCTCTCCCTAAACGAAAATAAATCGGGTAACTAATGATGCATAATTAATTTGTTTGTAGCTGAAATTGTCCTTGCACAATTTACATAATTATGAGCATGAATCCTCAGACAAGTTGTCCTACCTGAACTGCCACATATTCTCCAGACTGCTCTTTTGCTCCGAGGTAATTTGTATAAAGCCATCGTTGTAGTTTGGTCCAATATCTGTTAGATTCACTCCTTTATGCTTTGTCAGTCTGGTGCAAAGGAGCCAAAGCATATAGTGGAAAGAGTGTTAATAAATCACACTCATAAGATGTGACACAGGACATCACATATAACCAAAGCTTTTGCAAAACAGGCTAAAATTCAATCAGTGAGTCTGTGTGCACGATGGCGATCACACCTCAGATAACCCAGGTGTCTGCAGACCAGTGTTCCCAGTGAAGAGTTCCACCTTTCAGAGCACACCGGCAGCCAGGTGTGTGGCTTCTGCAGCTGGATCTCCAGGACTGAGTTTTCTGGGCTGATTCTGTAAAACACTGAACCTGATTGATTGAAAATCCCTCCAGAGACCAGCTCTCAGTCAATAATAACGAACAAGAGCGTGGGCAATGATTGGTAAACGCACAAGTAGCCCTGCTAATAAAGTTGATCCAAACGGGTGATGAAGTGTGATGTTTTCATGTTAGTCGATGGGAATCTCTCATTGGCGAGCTGAAGGACAACAAGACGCAGCAGCTGCATATTTATCTTGCTGCCATTCAACTAAAAAACACTGCAGAGGTGAACTGTGATCCTGGATGATGAGTCACTTCATAATGAATCCGGTCCTGATTTTATTTATGAAGCAGAAAGAAAAGTGAAACAAAAACAGACCTTTCCTCAGGTCCGAGATGGAGACATCCTCGGACACGTTGCAGAAGGACGGCTCCTTCGTGTCGCCGAGCCCTACTGGAGTTTGGGAAGAAGACGGCCTCAGCAGAAGTTTGACTGAATGCACATAAGAGTGGATTAATGAGTCCTTTAATCTTCCATTCAGACAGGCAATAAAATCATTCTCCTAATTCTACAAGATAATCTGAATAAGTACTTTTGAGAGGAGGATGTAATTTAATAATTTCATATCTGAAGGGCTGCCAAAAAGACTATAAAGCTCATTTAAACAACATGAGGTATTAGTTTTGAAATGGTTTTCACCCGCTCTAGAATAATTTCTCTTAATCTTAATTAGCTTCATTAAAGCCAGAGGACTTGTGAGATAGAATAAAATCTTGGTTTCAAAAACCAGACGATGGAAGTTGAATTTAAATCTGACCAGTCCTGGTTCGTTGCAGTGTTGGTTTCACTTGTGTGGGTCGCCAGATCCAGGCTTCACATCGGTAATTTAGTGTAATAATAAATGAGATTAGTGAATCATTTAAAGAATTAAACCGTTCTTTATAGTGGTGCCAGATGGATTATTAGCCACACAACTGTGTCAGCCCTCATTAGGTCTTTGCAAATATAAATTTGCAAACAAGTGCAGCATAGAGATTATGGTGATGAATAATATATTTCTTAGTTTGTCCACCAGGGAGCACTGACAAGTCTATCATTTGATGTTAAACGTGCCTCAGGAACCCTTTAAAATCTTTAATATTGTTAAATAGAGTTCAAGAGCCACAGGGTGAACCACCAGCTACCTCTGTAATCCCCATCATACTAAATCTCAATGTCTTTAATGAAACAACAGTTTTTACACAATCTGAAGAAATTATCATGAAATTATAAGAGGAGCTGTTAGGATGTAATCCTTAATCCTACACTATAAAGCTGCAGCTGCTTTAATGGTTCTAACTGGGCCTTTTTAAGGTTATTTTCAACTTCTAACTGCAGCTAAGCTCATTTAGTCATTCCTTCTCACGAACACAGACTCACCTAGAAACCAGACACCTGCGACCAATCCTCCCAGGAGTCCGACGGCGCACACAGCTGCCAACAGTCGCACCAATCTGTGAGCTGAAGCAACAGTTAATACTTGAACCCTGATGTGAGCTGAAAGGAATAATGAAATGTCAGTTAAGTAAATCGCGTGGTGAACACGCAGCACTGAGAGGTATGAAAACAAGAAGCTTTGTTCTGTACTTGTATACCACAGAGGAATTAAAAAGCACGTCATCGTGGAGTCATTTTTATGAAGAAGTTCCTCTGTTGGTTTAGAGGCTGCAGCTCACCGTGACTCGTGGAACGGCTGCCCTTCCACCAGCCCTGGACTTCTTCAGTTCCTGCAGCTCCTGCCGACGCCTCTGAGTGCAAAGGATGACCGATGGCCACTGGGTTTTCAATCACAGATACAGCGTCTCCATCAAGACTCTAAAAGAAGTACAATGGGCATGTCAAGTCACATTTACAGCTCAACTTTTTGGTGACCGTACTGAGCAGAGGTCGACCAATATTGTTTTTTTCTATTGCTGATGTAAAGAATGGGTCGTATACATCTTATTTATGGACCATAAAATGTGAGATTCCATAGAAATATGAAATATCAATCTGATGGATCTTTGAATATTTTAACCAGAAGATTGGAACTTTTTATTGTAGGGATTAAGCGACACTTCGTATTAACTCCAAGGAAAGAGAGAGAGTCGGGTTTAAAATGGTTATAAAATTTATTTCTACACAATTTAAACAAGACTAACTCTAACACTCTGTGTACTGATGGACTAAGGTGGAGTGAGACATGATATGATGGTGGTGTGTGTGGAATGTTATTCAGAACCAGCGGATCCGGAGAAGTAGGTAGTTCTGAGTGGGAGTGAATGTTTCGCTCTAAACTTTAGTAGGAGCTTTATAACACACATGGAACGCCATCTGTCGGTCTCCGTACCCCAGGGGAAGCCTCCGTTAGATCCAGAATGTTGAGGTTCTCGTGGACCCTCCTTGGTACCGAAGCCGGTAGAAAAGCAGCGGTGCCGACCAAACTAGTCTTGGAAGGCTTCCAGGTCACGACAGGTTATCACTGACGTCTCTGAGACCCTGAAGGGGTCGTGAGGTTCAGCTTTTATTCTGAAGGAACCGTTGCGGTCAGCTGTAACTTGCAAAAGATTTTATCCAGCTTGTCGAGGTTCTTTTGGCTGAAGAGGAATCCGGATGGCCTGTCCGAGACTCCTCTAGAACGCTTTGAACTAAAGAAAAGGTGGCGTGGGATAGTTTTTATAATTGTCATATTTTGGTTTACTGGCGAATCAGAATTTGACATGCAAAAAGAGGGCTTATAAAACACCACGCCTAGCCCCAGAAACGAAGGCTCTGATTGGGTGAGACAAAAGGAAATGTGCCGTGTGACTTTTAGCATTACGTGTCATTAGTGTCTAGTGCAAATGTCCAAGATTATAATAACTTGTAAAATACTACTGATCACAGACTATAATATCAATTAATAACATTGTCATTTCACAGATTGATTGAACATTGGGCTCACATTATTATTGGTAATTAACAAAGTTGTTGATTATGTATTTATCAAAATAGTTCTGGTCTTTGCTGACAGAGAAGAAGCAGTTCAGTTGAGCAGAGTGCATGAAAGACCTTGGCCACTATCTCATGTAGATTAGCCTGTCAGAGACATTATGTCTCTGCTCGAGCAGATGCAGCAGACCTTTAGGTCAAAAACAGGACATTCATGATGCTACACTGATACCAATGCCTATATGTAGGAGACATGGTCAGCTGACGGCAGATTTGTACCATAGATTTCCATGGCCAATATCTAGACATTTTCCACCGTATTTTCATGCTAAAATGTCACTGATAACATTGGTTGATGCACAAAATTTCTGAAGCTGTACAGCTTACCACATGACCAAATTTAAAGTGGTTTTCTCCACTTTAATGCTCCTTATTCATCCTGGACGAAGGATGTGAATCTTGCTAAACATGCAGCCATTTTTCTCCTCCTCCTCTGCTTTGATTATGTAAATTTGTTGACGGGCCATTGGAGTTCACTTGGTATTTTCACGCAAAACCTAAAGTAACTTTTGCTGTCTGACGAAAATCAGTGCTTTCTTGGTATCAAAATGTGTCTTTGAAATTCACAGACATCATGTGTTAAATCCATGGCACATCAAAAGGAGCGGCACATAGACACCCATTAATTTTTTCTTAGCAGTAGGGGAGCCATGGACCCAAAGTAGATGGACATGATTTGGTCTCCCTCTTGATGTTTTTCAACCACAAAACCGCAGCGTTTCCTGGAGCCACGAAATGACTAAAGGATTTCAAGACCACGCGTGATTCTGGCAGTTTGCGTACTTGAACGTTTTCCTGTTCTTTTTATATTGGCCACAGATTTTTCACAGATAATGATGTATAATTTTCCAAAAGCAACTGGAAATCAACGTGTTACTTTTATTATGGAAATCTCAGGACGTTTTACACTGTTTTTGTGTTTGATTTTCTGTCTGGCTCGATCTGCACTGCTGAGCTTGACACGTTCTTGAAGTGTAGCGCGTAAAAAAACAATGGGATGTCTCTAAATCGTAATGTTTTGTGGCCGGAGGAAACGTTCCCATTAACTATAAAGGTGACTATGCTTCACAGACGTTGTGTGATGCTTACGTGTCCAGTTGAAATGTCCAATAAGACAAAAAAGTACAAAGATCTCAAAAATGTTTTTATTGTTTACTATTACTCAGAAATGCGTGTTCAGTAAGCTAATTCCCAAGTTCTGTTTTTTTTAAGTTATAGTAACTTCCATTAAAATGCATTTTACTTTGTACGCACAAGTGCTCCAACACATAACTGTCTCTTACGTTTAAGTGTATATTGAAAGTATTTAATTATAACAAAATTCGGTAACACTCTACAATAAGGGTCCCTTTATTAACGCTACTGTTATTGGTAACTATTAAGTGACCCTAAGGTTAGGATAAAGAGCCAGGGGGTGTGTCTGCTTAGTAATACATTACATAATATGGTTAAGAAGTCGTTAATACTACATTTAATAGTTTATTAATGCGTAATGCACTAAGTCACGTTAATAAAGGGACCCTTATTGTAAAGTTTTACCTAAAATTGCATAGTTGATTCCTCCATAAATAAAAACTACAGCAGCTTCTTAGATGGATTTATATGTTTTACGTCCTGCAGAGGTAAATGTCAGCAGTCCAACAGCAGATAAAAGATTCAGCTCTAGAAAATGAACAGTGTTAGGGCAATGCTAGGCAGAGCAGCCTGTACTGAGAGTTCCTCCGTTTCTTACCATGTTTTCCTGAAGTGCAGGGCTGAGGAAAAGGCAGCAGTGTCCTTTTTCATCTGTAGGCCCGCGGCAGATAGATGCAGGTCTGTCCCGCTCGCAGTCGACTCACCGTTTACCGTTTTAACAGAATACAACTCTGGATTTTCCCTTCACAAAGGGACCATGAGGTCAGCAGCGGTGCAGAGAATGAGGCTGTTGTTTGTCCGTGGGGTCATGGGGCCGGTGGAAGCAAGCTGAACCAGGTTTTTAGGGGGGGGGGGGGGGGGGGGGGGGGGGGGCTTCTCCAGAGATACCTCCAAGCCTATTATGGATAGGACACTTGGGAGTTGCTAGGTGACACTTTACCTGAGCCAAAAGATTCTCCATTTTCTCCTAAGATGCGTTATTACCTGACAGTTTGTCCACTCAGAGAAAAAGTCATTATTGCAGATTGTTGAAAAGTCTCATATCGTGCCAATCCTCAGCATTTGAAATCCAAAGCTATCATCTCTCACCACTCGGCAGCGAAATGAAGTTGGGGCTGTCCGCCTGCTGACAGATGACTTTCTTTCTCTCTAGCAGCTCACAGTTACATTTCTCCTTTAGTTCTGCTGGAACAGTTTTCCCCATTTGTGTAATCTTTTTGTTTTAATTACTTGAGAAAATGCAACTTGAGTGAACGTCCATTACCTCTGTAAGTGGATGAGTGCTGAATCAGAGAGGTGATCCAAACCCACAGTCACTTTATTCCATTGAAGACGTGCAGGAAAAAAAAAACGTAGCAAGACGAGTTATTTATGCACGTCTCATATTTGTGAGGTGGGATTAGCCTGCATCCAGGTGAAAGGAGGAACTGCCAGGAAGAGAATTCCCCCTCATCTGAAGGTTGAGGCTGAATCCAAAAGATGACCCAGATCTGTTTGGTTCATCTAACATCACCGGATTGTTGGACATAAGAGTGATGGGCAGTGTGGCAGAAATAGATATGAAATATCAGAGGCTTATGAGGTTAATAATATTTGATATTAGTGCAGCACTAAATTGTTCCCCTGCAGAGGTAAATAGATAAATGACATTGGAGCAATTCCCTGGTGGAGCATTTGATGTCTCCCTCCTCTGATGATTACATTTTTTTTATCCTGCGGCATAAATGTAAAAAAAATCTGTATCCATCTTACTAATTTTTGTGTGACAAAAGCATTTTTTTCTTTTGGAAGGCATACACATACGTATGTATATCATGGGTTTTTCTTCTTGCATGCAGTCTTATCACTGAAAACGTATATAGCCTGAGACACTACAGGACGACTCTAGTTGTTGGTTTATAGCTTCAAGGTGGGATTTCAAACGCTCCAGTCTTCATCCAACTGTTATTCGTCACAAGTCGTCTTTTTACTTTTTATTTTTTTCCAATAATTTTGTGTCTTTATTTTCTTGCGGTTTAAGAACTCTTTGTTGCTCAGCTATCCAATCCAAACTTATTAGGTCTTAAACGCTTAAAGCAGCAATCTGGTGTTTTCCTCCTTTCAGGAATTGTGTATGATGCTTTAGAAATAAAAATATAGTCTTGGCCTCTACTGTGATATGATGTAGGCAATAGGCACACTAAGGAATTTGGTCATTAATAGATGTCAAAGATCGTTCCTGCCTAAAGAACTATATTGTGGTTTACAGTGAGCTGTTTTTGCTGCTGCATCCTGATTTTATTATTAATCCGTTAACAAACGTGTGGTTGAAATGGTTATTTTGCAAAGTGGTGAATATTGGTAGATCAGATTTGAGCATCTCTATTCAACGTAAACCAAAAATGGGGTGTTGCTAAAATGCTAATGTTAGCTTAGAGGTTTGAGTTTAGGGTGCAGCTTAAAACCTGTGGAAACATGAACAGCCACTGTGTTTTTCACTAATAGAGGAAATATTTATAAATCTAACAGGCCAAATGTTTGCTGTCTTTCATAAGAGGATTATGAGCTTGTCTGGCCACTGTCTCCCTGCTTAGAGAGCCTGGACTGGATCCGCTCCTTCTTGTCTCTGTCCAGCGCTCAATTCTTGAACATCAGATGCATTTTTCTGGTTACCGTCCAGTAAAATCCAACAGTTAGACAACCAAGGAGAAAAGATCTGTCTTTTTTAGGATTTGGACTTTGTTGCCTCTAAAGCGTTCCTTTATTGCCAAAGTTCATCACAGCAAGGCAACCAAACTACTCGTGTTTTACTGTCGACCGCTGAGTCGGATGGATTTCAAGCTGTAATTCTAAGTTCTTTGAGAAAATTGTATAAAATCCTGCTGAAAAAAAATATTTTTTCCTGAAAATACTCAGTTTAGATGTTACTGTGCAGCGCCTGACTCTGGTCTTAGTGGCACAAATCCAGAATATGTCAGCGGCTTCACATTAGTGGGCTTTACAACTGATCCAGGGTCTGCCACTTCTTAAAGGTTTATTACTGCAGGGTTTGATCTTCCTCTCCTGTGATTTAGCGATCTGTCTTTTTTCCACTTCTGGTTTTCTAATGAAATTACAAACGGAATAAAAAGCTACCTATTAAAGGCCTATTCAATTATTTTAATTTCCTGGGTGCTGTGTGGCTGCTCAGAGGACGGCGCTCCCACTGATTACTGGGCTCAAGGTGTGATGAGGCAGTTTTTTTGTACAAATTTGCATTTTGTGACCTTTTCAAACAATGACTGAACAATTCACAGCCATAACAAGATCATTTAGGACTGAGACTTTGGTTTGTCTTGGAAACTCGAACATTGATTTTAGTATTTCTCTCTTTAAAATGCTAAAATAACACAAATCACTCATTGTTTTCTTATTTAACTTTAATTGAAAATGTGACAAATTATTCTGACTTGTGTGTCTTGATTCAGCTTGATGATCAGTTCATGGAAACAATGTCAGATTTATCAATTAAGCCGATTAAATTATCCACTTCTTTAAAAATGTATTCTAAAGAATTTCAGTAGCTGAAACAAAGACTATTTGTTTCTCAACACAGTATCTGTAAAATGTCGTGGTCTGCTAGTTAGTCTTAACATATAAAGCTTTTTCGTAAACTCGCACCCCTCCCGTCAGCTATCATCCCTAGATCATGTCCCCCTGATACCCGGACCTAGCTTGGCAAGCCAGACTAAATAAATGTATTCTTTAGTCTGGCCACGCTCCATTGACGGCTCTCGGTTGTGGGGCGGGTTCTACCGTTGTCTTTCAAATGATCTCCGCATGCTACTGGACAATGAATGTGACATACTCTTGTTTCACTCTGTTGCATCATCCCACCCACCAGGCATATAGAGTGCCCTGATTTGCTCACAAAGCGGATAAAGCTCTGTGATTTGTTCACTAAGCAGATAGAGCACTATGATTGGCCCACCATTATGGACCAATCACAGCTCTTTATGTGTTTGAAACCCCTCTAGAGAGTTGTGATTGGCTAGCCAGAGTCCTGGTAGGAGATGCAGAGGTTCCAATGGAGCGTTCCTAGACCAAACTTTGCAAAGCAAGAATTTGGTCTAGTTCACTAGGCTAACCCGGACCTGCATTGCCAGAGGAAACAAGAGAGCGCTAAACACCAGTCAATGTTTGTTTAGGTTCAATCGTCTTTCCTTGTTTGTGGTTTTAAATTATGTTTTTCTTTTTGGGACTCTGGTAGTTTGTCCTAAAGTGGCAGTTGGCTGTTTCTCCTTTTCTGGTGTTATTGAGGAGATTTTTAGATAAACGTGACAGAACCACTTTATTTATAACATTGCTATTCCATGATGTTAAGAGACATGAAAAAATGTTTTAAGCCAGCTTGTGTTGCAGATTAGCTGTTGCAGTTGTGTATTTTAGAGATTAGGCTTTGTATCGGTTGTGTTTTTATAACACCTTCTAGGGTTCTGTAACCCCCCAAAGTGCTTTACAACACAACCAGTCATTCCAGTTACACACACACACACACACACACACATACTGGTAGTGATGATGAGCTACAATATGGCCACAGCTGCCCTATTGGGTCAGCCCTGGAAACAAGGCTGTCAAGCCCAGGCGCCCCTGGTCCTTCTGTCTACCACCAGCAGACAAAGAGGGTGAAGTGTCTTGCTCAAGGACACAACAACTTTGACATACCTTGCGGGCTCGAACCTGCTACCCCTGGGCCACAGGGTGGGTACTTGACTCATTTGCGACACTCATCCAGTAGAAAGAAATCAGTCAGATTTGATAAGAGATTGACAGAAAGTGCATGCTTGGATTGGTGACACACTGATCTGGAAATGTGGGCCAATACCCAATATAATGATTATAATAATATGATCACATGACCGGACATTTACAGCACGACCAACCCCCTTCCCTCCCACCAGATACAACTAGATTGAAATAAATCTTGGTTGATGATATCGGCTCAGCTTTTCTTATTGAACCAATACCGATTTGGAAGCGGATATGTTGTGCATTCCTGATTTTTACAGACTTTGACAGAATTTGTTTGAAAAAATGAGTTCGGACAGGATTTTAAATTTGGGGCACAACTATTCTACCGAGATCGGTTACCAATGCCACCCTTTAGCTGAATGGTTCTTAACCTTTTTTGAGTCGTGACCTCCAGAGATGATTACATCTCTCAGAGCAGGAAGCACTGCCCTGGTGCTCTCAGTTACTGACTTTCAGGTGACCTGTGCCCAGACTGGTCCTTATTATTTTTTGGCTGTAGCCTCTGCTGAAAATATCCTTCTAATCTATTTTAGCCAGCGTGTGCGTTTTCCCACTTGGACAGGTTGGTCAAACCTCATTTTAGTCGGCTCCTATACCAAATTAAGCTGACAAGGGGAAATAATCAGAGAAATCAGTTAAGCTTCAGACAGAAAAATAAACAAAAACAAACTGCTGTCATTTATATTAATGTGTTCAGAAATGACTGCACTGACCTTTACACTGTGTTGTGACTGAGGTGGCTGGCGGTGCGAGTTATTGGTGTCATCATAACACACACTGTAAACTGTCCAGGTAAATGATGCAACACAGCATGCGATTAGATGTCAGCTGTGGTGATGTGCTGCCATTTAGTGGTGCAGATGAGCAACTGCATCCAATTTAAAGCTCAGATCAGTCCAAAATGGGACACATTTTAGTGTAAATATATACAGATGTGTTAATCTAGAAATCAGGAATATTTTCAGTATATTTGGGTTATTTTTCTCTTCTGCTGGATGTAAAAGTGGAGTAGCACACATGCTGGATAG